GTCGAGAAATTAAATAGACAAAATCAGTCTTATACACGGCCTCTTATGGAGTTTTGATTAAATTGAACGTTTCAACCCCCTAGGAACTCAAGAAAAATTTGAAAAAATTTGAAGATATGGGGAATGATGTGTTCAATGTGATGGCGACAAAAAACAATGGGGTACCGGGGTGAATAAGAGAGATATTTCAACCCGCCGTACTCATTTGATCCCATGCTTTCTCGAGGTTCGTCACGCGAAATAGAGGATTTTCCGCATTTATTTTCTCGATGTCTAGTTCCGGTTGCGGGTTTGAAATTTCGTCGGATGGATGAATACATATTTCTCCAATGATGGAGGGAAAGAAAAAATGTTTTTTGAATGTTTTTTCAAATTCACTTGGCACCCTTAAAGTAGCTCTAGGGGACGGTGGGGCAAAATGAAACACGGGGCAAAATGAAACAGTGGGAAAATCTCGTCATCTAAAGGAGATAGGACATTTTTGAAAAGGACCTTTTTTGTAGCTTGTAAAATTCTCTACAAAAAAGGTTTCCATGAAAATCGTCCTATCTCCCTTAGATCACAAGATTTTCTTGCTGTTTCATTTTGCCCCGTGTTTCATTTTGCCCCACCGTCCCCTACCCTTACGGTAAATTCAAAGATTATTGAATACTGCATTAAAATTGTAGAAAACTCGATTAGATTCGGAATTCTAATTTTTTTTCCGACAAAAATCCGGATTGTCTGAAAAAATAGGAGAGCGCAGTCAGGAAAAGAGAATTCTTCGTGTCACTTACTGCGTACATGTCTGCAGGCAACTGCTTGACGCCGGGTGTCGGTGGCTCTTCCTTCAAGAACTCGAAAATAGTGTCGATATTGCTCTCCGGAGGTTCCTTCACTGGAGCCTCTGCCCCATTCTTCCCGAAGTGAATCAGCGACTCTCGCAGTTCTCTCAATCGATTCTCATTATTCTTCCCCGCAATTGTCTTCCAATCGGAGTTGCCACTGGCTTTCAGCCGCTTCTCCTCGTCCATTTGTAGCTTCTTGATCTCCTGCAGCCTCTGCTCTCGCCACTGAAAATAATAATGCAGTGAACGATTACCAAGATACGACAAGTGATTATCTGCAAAATTAATCTTTACACAATTTTGCTTTCAAACTAATTTTTTATACTGGAGTTTTTATACTGGAAATGTAATAGTGTAGTCACCTGGGCTTTCTTTCTGTGGAGAACGCGAACGAGATAACCACGACACAGCGCCTGCAACAGAAACTCATCACTTGAGATTATCTCAGAAAAAAGCAATTACCGAAGGTTGACGATTGTTCACCTGCAGTGCCACCATGATTTTCCTCTTCTTGCGGAATGAATGAGTGGTCACGCGCGACCTGAGGCACGCCTGCAGCCTCTGGTACCCCAGTTTCATCTTCAGATACTTCTTCCGGGGACCATGACCCCTCCAGACGCGTTGAATCATTAGGACTGATTTTTTTATTTGCAGGAATCTGAAAGCGAGTCGAGCAAGATTACGTTCGGACGGGTGTCAGGACCATTATCTACCTGCCTTGGTATTGAATGATAGTTAACTATTGTTGCATTTCAAAAATTTTTGAATTTTCTATACTCAACTCTTCTTATGAAAATTTTCATGAATTTCAAGAATTTCAAAATATTTTCCGGTGATATATATATATATATATATCTTTGATATTGGTATGCATTTATTTTTTAACAAGTGTATCAATTCGAGTTTTGTGAGCGAATTTTTATATCATTTTTGGCGTTACAGGGCTCAAATTTTGAGTTTTTTTCATTCTATTTTCCTTTCAAAAAATTTCAAATTTCTCCGGTTTTTCGTTGCAAGGGTTAACGTGCCAACGCGGCCATCGCCCGAGGGCCTTCAGCCAGGGAATGTTGAATGTGGAATGGATTTTTCAGTTGAAAATTTCGTGGAATATTCGGTTTGAAAATTGTGTTGAATTTTCAGTTGAATATTATGTGGAAAATTGTGATGAAAAATTGGGGTGTGGAATTTTGGCCCGGCCGGGGCTCGAACCTGGAAGCTTGAGGTTGTGAATCTCATGCCGCTACCAAGTGCGCCACACAGCCGGGTTTTTTCTTTTCATTTCATCAAGAAAATCAAACAAAAAAACATTAAGAAACTGATTCGAGGCAATTCCACAGAAAATCTTCCAATAGAATAACTTGTATCGAAAAATCGAATTCTATTGCCTTTTTCCGCAGACTATTTTCTACTGAACATTTTAAAACAATCGGCCCAAAAAAAAGAAAATCTCCATAGAAACCCAATAGACTTGTCTAGCTTGTTCGCTCCGTTTTTCTATTAAATTTTTTCGTGAGTGACTACCTCCTCCGGGCGATCCACCTCCTCGCATATCTCTGGATCGTGATAATGCTCGTGGCAACGACTCGCCCCCGCTCTCGCTCGAGAACAAAATCCTGCTCCTCCTTCAGAAAGACCCTGGTCCTCCCCATTTGATAATCCAGACTCCCCTCCGCGAGAACCTCCTTGCAAATCATCTCAGCGGCTTTCCTCTGGTCCTTCTCCGCCCTCCCCTTAACCAAAACCCTGAACCGCTCATAGAACTCACGATAACTATGGCGAATGGGATACCCAGCCCTCCTGATGCTCGCCGTCTCCATCATCCCGGAGTACCTCAGTTGTCGACAGCACAAGTGCCGATCGAAAACCCCCGGCCTCTGCTCCTCATTCGGTTTGATGCACCTCACGAAGAAGGGATTGCAGCTCTCCAAAGTCCTCATCAGCATCTCCAAGGACGCCCGAAACCCCGAGGACAGCGAGGCCGAGCGTTTCTTCCCATCAATGGACAGCATATCCTCCGGGAAGATGGACTTCAAGAACTTGTTCGAGGATATCGCGATCAGCTGCTTCAAATCCGCCGAGAATGTGTCCCGATTCTTATCCAAAAACCCGTGCACTTGGTAATCGACAGCCCCAGCGAAGTGCCTTATCCCGAAGGCCTTCACCAAATCGGACTTGGGTTTTACATAGCTATCATTCCCCGCGTGCACCTGGTGAGCCTTCGTCAGGAGCGTGAGGTCAGTTCCCCTCGGGAATTTGCTCTCCTCGTCAATGAGAGCCATCACATTCAGCTGCTTCATCCCAATCAAGTCCAGCACCCCCTGGTTGTCCTTGAAGTCGATGTGCCTCCAGGATATCCCCTCGTCGCTGTAGTACTCCTGCTCGATCTTGAAGATGTGGCGAACGAAGAACTGCTGGAGATGCTCGTTCGCGTAATTGATGCAGAGCTGTTCGAAACTGTTGTGATCAAAGTTCTCGAACCCGAAGATGTCGAGAACCCCGATTGAGCTTTTGGTGTTCGACTTCGGCTTGAATATCGTCGTGTTGATCTTCTCCACGATCATGATGAACAGCTGACCGTAGACCGCCTTGACGAAGGCGTCACGGACCTCGACAGCTTGCTCCCTCGATAAATTACTGACGACCCTCTCCCCCTGCGCGAAAATCGTTCTTCTTGTTAAGGCTTCCTTCAGCGGCTTCGTCCCCACCCCCAGGAGGTCAGCCGTCGTCTTCACAGCTGCGTCGTCCTGAATCTCGCAGGTGTCCATGTTCGATATGACTGCGGACTTGTAGTTGAAATTCCCCAGGTGGAGGATGGAGGAGAGCAGCTCGATTATGCTGGTGAACTCGTCGTCAGTGAAGTTGAGGATCTTCATGGCTGCCCGGACGTCCGCAAACTCTTTGGCGTCGTTTCTTCCTCGGCACTCTGGGGCGCCGCAGAGGTACTTGTAGGCCCCACTCCCGAGTCCCAGCCTCTTCTTCTCCTCTTTGGACAGGCCTGCGAGGATCGAGTAGAAGATGTGGTAGTTCCTCTCCCCCGGGGACTGGTGAACCAGCCGGCATTTTTCCAGGAGATACTGCTCGATCCTGGCGCCCTCGATGGCCCCCGACTTGTTGAAGTTCACGTCGATGTACTTTCCGAATCTCGAGGAGTTGTCGTTGCGGATTGTCTTGGCGTTCCCGAAGGCCTCGAGGATGGGATTCGCCTCGAGGATCTGCTGCTCTATCCACGAGTGCTCGCCGCTGATCGCCGCCAGGTACTGCAGGATCAACTTGGTGCTCTCGGTCTTGCCGGCTCCGCTCTCTCCGCTGATGACGATGCACTGATTCCTTCTGGTTGTCCTCATCTCGGTGAAGCAGGTGTCACCGACGGCGAAGATGTGCGGCGGTTGCTCGCCGATTTTTTTACCTCTGTAGGCCGATATCTCCTTGGGGGTGTAGATGTCCAGGATCTGGTACGGGTTGATCGCCACTAGCATACTTCCGGTGTACGTGTAGATAAGGTTCTTGGTGTAGCGCATGTGCAGGTTCTTGAGAATTGCGTATTCCTGGAGGTCGCCCAGTTTTATCATGTCCTCCACGCCCGAGATCGAGGTGGGGTGCATGTGCTTCGCGATTCGATCCCGTGGGATCGCCACCATCTGGGGTCAGGGAAGGATGCCAAACAGTTATTTTCAGCTATAATTCGTTTTTTAGAATTTGAAGAATTTAATAGAAAAATGTTTTTTTTTTACGATTTCTAGACTATATTTTTGTTTTTCTACAAAATATAGTATAATTTATTCAGATATATTATTCAGTACTTCTCATTTGAAAAATGTTCTGAAATTTATTCAACTGGCGGCCGACGCTTGACCGCACTCAGCACCATCATTCCCATTTTTTTTTCTTTTTCATTTTTTATTTATATTATTAACTCTTTAAGAATAATTACTAATTTAAGAATAATTTAAGAATAATCTCTCTATATAAATAAAAAAATAAGGCGAAAAATTCAGGGGACGCTGGGTGCTTATACGGGGGTCCCTATATAGGGAGGTACCTGTATTTATAAGGGATGTCTATATGAGGAGGTGGTCATAAAGGGGATATCAATATTTATGGATAATTACTATATTAGGAGGTGCTCATATGGAAAATATTTATGGGTACGGTCGCACCGTTG